ATGTAGATCTGCCCTTGTGGAACTAGATATGGGCCTCGCAAGGATTTCTTTTTGGAGGGGGACAACACACATTTTGCCTCAAAAGTCCTGTGCTTTTCCAGCATATTCTCAATTTATTAGTTTTTCGAGGGTGGTCAGGGGGACATTTGACCACCCACCAACCCCCCCCCCCCCCCCCACCCACCCCATAAAATTAAAAGCTACTTCGCAACTTTTTTTCTTTCTTTCTTTCTTTCTTTTTTTTGCCCTAAGCGCCTCACGATGCTCGTGCAACCACGAAACTCCCCACTCCTCTGTTGTGAAAACATTTATTTTAATTAAAGCAAATTTACTGTTTGTTGTTTTAGGAGGCAAGTTTTGATAACTTTTGTGGAGCAAATTTTTCGTACTACTGGACACCTGCGACCAAAGCATGAGCAAATCAGCATAAAAAAAGTGCAAAATAGAATGTTTCCTGACCGACGGACCAACCGACCCTATTCTGAAACCGACATGTAATCGGAAGCAGAACCATTTTTTTGTTGGCCTTACTCAGTCTTTCTACAACCTATTTCAGACAAAAAAAGTTTCTTTTGCATAGTTGAATTGAACATCAAAGGAATTTGGAGTTGTTTTGGGTAAAATCATGGCATTCTAGCCTCATGCAGTGTCATCATTCCTTCCAAGACACCAAACTAAAGCCTTTCATTGTTTCAGCATTTTTCACGAAAGTTTTAAAACTAAAAGAACACGATACATATATTTCGTTTTATAAGAGTGAATTTTCCTTTCAGTCGTCATTTCAAATATAAGCCTGGGAAGGAGTTTTAGAAAGTTTAAGAAAAAAAAATATGCTTGGGGTGGGAAAGTTGGCTAGGGGGCCAGTTGGCCACAGGGCGAGTTGACAAGGAGGCGAGTTGGTCGTTCGGCGAGTTGGTCATAGGGCAAGTTGGACAGGGGGGCGAGTAGGTCGGGGGGGAGGCGAGTTGGTCAGGGGGAAAGTTGGACAAGGGGCTAGTAGGTTGAGGGGCGAGTTGTCAGGGGACAATTTGGACAGTGGGGGGGAGTAGGTGGGGGGCAAGTTTAGTCAGGGGGCGAATTGGCCAGGTGGCGAGTTGGTAAAGGGCGAGTCGGCCAGGGGGCTAGTTGACCGACAATCCTAGAGAATAGCCAATGAAAGCTGAGAATTGTGAAGGTCACTGCCTGTTCTCAAACACATTGTCAGGTCACCAGTCTGTGTTTCCAGAAACACGCAAGTTCATGGTACATATCACAGGGCAATCTTTCGTCTCACTAGTCTCTGACACTCTATCTTTCTATTTGCCACTGGCAGTAATAATGGTAGATAGTTTTATTGGATCGTGAGTTGCTTTGGTTGAATTTTATTTCCTCCTTGAATTATGGACTGTGTGTATGTATCTGACTGAATGGCGTGATATTTATGGCTATACATGTAGATAGCACCTCTTAGGCCAAATAAAACACACAAAAATATGTTTAGTGTCCCCACCCGCTCAGAGGCGTCGCCAAGGGGGGGCCAGGGGGGGCACGTGCCCCCCTGGAAAACCTAGTGCCCCCCCCCCCCGAGTGCCCCCCCATCAAATGCTGGTGCCCCCCTATCCTCTGCAAAATTCTGCGCGTTGTTAAAATCATTACCTCAAAAATAGCAATTTCTTGAGATATCTTCAGATCGAATTTAGCATCAAATGTGGCACCATTTTGCATCTAGCCCATCCTCCGTATGCGAAAATTTTCAAAAGGGGAGGGGGGCACCCCCTCCCCTTAGACCCCTCCCCCAGGACGGCGATCCGTATCCACCTAAGTGCCCCCCATCAAATGCTGGTGCCCCCCCTGTGCCCCCCCAGACTGAAAAGTCTGGTGACGCCACTGCACCCGCTTCCTTTTTGGAGGCCGACCGCCTCCTTTTAAAAATTGAGAAAAAAAACCTGAAAAAAAATATGCATTTTAAACATTGACATCATTTTGGCCTCTTTGTCTGTTGCATCTAGCCCATATAAAGCTGGTATGTCATTTCCTGAGTCCAAGTGGGGGCCATTTAAAAAAAGCTGGCGGCCATCTTGAAAAATAGCCCCACTAGTTGTTTTGGAAAATGGCTCGGGCGGCCATTTTGGAGAAAAAAAAGTGCCTTCTCCTTCCTTGTTTTCAAAAAGGCAGGAGGCTTAACTTTTTTTACTTGGCCTTAACATCACCTGACATTCTGAAAATTATTACTTACAATCAGACGTCAATTAAAGTAGCTAATAGGCAGGATTAACTCAACTTATATCAGCATGAGCATTGTAATGCCAATTCAAAACTATTACAAACGGCAGCGTACTGTTGTTTTTTTCAAAGCACTCTGAATGGAAAAAGTTATTTTAACAACCCAAAAAGCGACAATAATGTTATTGTTACTAACTTCAAATACATATGGCAGATGGCAGTAGTTATTTTAACAACCCAAATAGTGACAATAATGTTATTGTTACTAACTTCAAATACATATGGCAGATGGCAGTAGTTATTTTAACAACCCAAATAGTGACAATAATGATATTGTTACTAACTTCAAATACATATGGCAGATGGGAAAATGAAAATCTGAACCCTGAAATCCATTTGTGCTGTTTTAATAATTAACACTTGAATTTTAGTTGTCTGTTCAGCAATAGCCTAAATCATGTATCAGCAAAATAATAAATTGAAAAGTTCTTCAATATGTTCATTCTCAAATCGCCTTGAAATGCAGGAGAAAACATACTAGGTTTCAACAATTCATGGGGACATGCCCCCCCCCCCCAAAGCAGGGTGTGAAAGCTACATGTAGATCTGCCCTTGTGGAACTAGATATGGGCCTCGCAAGGATTTCTTTTTGGAGGGGGACAACACACATTTTGCCTCAAAAGTCCTGTGCTTTTCCAGCATATTCTCAATTTAGTAGTTTTTTTGAGGGTGGTCAGGGGGACATTTGACCACCCACCAACCCCCCCCCCCCCCCACCCACCCCATAAAATTAAAAGCTACTTCGCAACTTTTTTTCTTTCTTTCTTTCTTTCTTTTTTTTGCCCTAAGCGCCTCACGATGCTCGTGCAACCACGAAACTCCCCACTCCTCTGTTGTAAAAACATTTATTTTAATTAAAGCAAAATTCACTGTTTGTTGTTTTAGGAGGCAAGTTTTGATGACTTTTGTGGAGCAAATTTTTTCTACTACTGGACACCCGCGACCAAAGCATGAGCAAATCAGTGCAAAATAGAATGTTTCCTGACCGACCGACCAATCGACCCTATTCTGAAACCGACATGTAATCGGAAGCAGAACCATGTTTTTGTTGGCCTTACTCAGTCTTTCTACAACCTATTTCAGACAAAAAAAGTTTCTTTCACATAGTTGAATTGAACATCAAAGGAATTTGGAGTTGTTTTGGGTAAAATCATGGCATTCTAGCCTCATGCAGTGTCATCATTCCTTCCAAGACACCAAACTTAAGCCTTTCATTGTTTCGGCATTTTTTCACGATAGTTTTAAAACTAAAAGAACACAATACATGTATTTCGTTCTATACATGCTATAAGAGTGAATTTTATTTTCAACTGTCATTTCAAATATAAGCCTGGGAAGGAGTTTTAGAAAGTTTAAGAAAAAAATATGCTTGGGGTGGGAAAATTGGCTAGGGGCCAGCTGGCCACAGGGCGAGTTGACAAGGAAGCGAGTTGGTCGTTCGGCGAGTTGGTCATAGGGCAAATTGGACAGGGGGCGAGTAGGTGGGGGGGGGGGGGGAGGCGAGTTGGTCAGGGGGAAAGTTGGACAGGGGGCTAGTAGGTTGACTTTTTTTTTGGCCTAATATCTTTAAAGGGACTTTAGTTGTCCAAATCATAGTGCCCACTTTGTACACGGTAGGCTGGCCACCATAGCAGCAATGTGTGAATGGATATGCCTTTGGGGCATTGAATCTATCTATTCATCTTTTTTTTGCAGAGACATCTCTGGCTAAGTGGTTATCAAGCCACATGTTTCAATTTGACACTCTAGCTCTTCAAAACGAATAATGAGATCGATGCCGTACTCAGTACCCTAGTAGTTTCGTTTGTTTCCCTTATGACTAACAAGAAAGAGAAGGAAGTAAAAACAAATTTTTTGAAGAATCAACTAGTCCATTTTGCACTGTATGTCAAGTACATTATGAAGGTAAAAAAAAAACCATTCCCTCTGTTCAGCAAGCAAGCCAGACACTATAAAAGGCCACGACCACCTACACAGCTATCAGAGGAATAAATATAGTCCTGGTGGAGTATTGTCAATAATTGCACCATCTTGAAGCATAGTAATTACAGCCTTCATCATGGCAAGTAATGCAATACCAAAGTGGAATGAATTGATCCTGAACAATAAAGAAAACCTCAAGGCCTTCAAGCATTGGTTTTGGAGCGGAAAAAATGGCAATAAGTTGATAGATGAACTGAACAAAGGTCAAAGTGATCCATTTCACAACTTCATAAGTCGAGGAAAGAAGCCTTTCATATATTGTGTTGTTGTAAACTACCCGTTTGACTTAAAGGATAGCAAGAAAGAGTGGAAATTTTGCAAGATTGGGTACACTCAAGTTGACACAACGCCCGGAACTAATAATCGGATGGAGACTGTAAAGAGTGAAATAAATAAACAATACCAATGTTCGAAAGCTGCAGCTGTGCTCTTCTGCCTCTCCATTCACCTAACTGACTGCACACCCAGATTTGAAGGTGGAAAAAAGGATAAGGGCTGCATTTGGACACGAAGTACCCAAGGAAAAAGCAAAAGATCTAAACTTTGCTGTGCCAACCGAATGGGTCATTACCACTCAAGGTTTTATCGACAAAATCAAGCAGAAAATCAATGACATGTCCGAAGACCATGGATATGCAAGCACTATAGTGTTTAAGGGCTGTAAATTTAACGAGGAAACGAATCCAGTACCTGCAGATGCACTGAAAAACCTCTGCTTTCCAGACGAAGAAGCACTGAAGGAATTTTCACTTAAGATGAGCCAAAGAACCACACCAAGCTCGGAATCCAAGAAATCATCACGCAGGAGCACTGGTGGCACAACCCCAAAGGCAACATCAGAAATGGAAGATGACTTAGGCAAGTTGCGGCTTGATGACTAATAGAGGTAATGGAGCACACCCACCATAGGGAACTATGTCAGGCAAGAAATGTAAACAGTACAGGATGGAAGGAAAATGAGACTGTTTAATAAACGTGAATGAGCCCCCCATTTTAGCTTATTTAACATTCCTTATGTTTACTTTTATGAATGGGTGAGGAAGAGAGACAGAAATTTGACTGAAACTTGCAACAATACTTGTATTTAGGTTATTTCATTAATTATTAAAGTAGTTAGTCAGTTACATTTAAAGGTCACTTTAAAGAGACACTTCCCAAACAAAAAATTCTCAAGCCACAACACCTTGTGGCTTTTGTGTGGAAACAAATTCCACACAAAAACACAAAACTGAGATATTTGGTGAGGTATTGTCCAGACTATAATGTTTGGAAACCGTGACAGGACGATTAGCTCATTCCGTTGTTAGCATCATTTATATTTACCAATTGGTACAAAAATGAGCCAGCTGTTGATTAATCAATACTGTCAATGAAAATGGAATAATGGAATTTAATTTTGTACAAAGTTTAACATCTTTCTATGCTATTTGTAATCATCCAACTGTTTAAACAGTCACAGACAGTCAAAACTCCATCCACTTCCCTGCCATGCCTGTTACACAGGCTAGTCACCAACAGTCAGATCATATTTCTAGCAAGCACTATGACTAGTCAAATTCTGTCAACAGACAAAAGCAGGCAAGTGGTAGACACAGCTGGTTTATCAATCACCTACAGTCAAGGCATAGCCGTATCAAGTTACATAAGAAGTCACAGCCAGTCAATCCTGTTCTTTGTTGGCTGGGAGCTCTGAACTGTTGAAAACAGTCACTTGATTGATTTTAACTGAAAGGAAATCTTGGCACAGAATGTATGTGTGCATAGGAGGGTTTTATTCGAATTTGGTGAATGTTCTCTATAATTTTTTATTAATGGTATATTCAGTAAAAAAAAAAAAGGACATGTAAGACATATTATGATTGTAGATTATCAAGGTAAACTTATTAGAAATGGATTGTATATGCTGCAAAAAAAACAATTGTTAAATAAAGATTTAAATCAATTTTAACAAAAAGTACATGTAAGACATATGATTGTAGATTATCAAGGTAAACGTATTAGAAATGGCTTGTATATGCTGCGAAGAAAACCAATTGTTAAATAAATATTTAAATCAATTTTTAAAAAAGTACATGTAAGACATATGATTGTAGATTATCAAGGTAAACTTTTTAGAAATGGCTTGTATATGCTGCAAAAAACAATTATTAAATAAAGATTTAAATAAATTAACAGCCAATCATTCAAAACAAACCATCGATGATATTCCTACTTTGCACTATTGAAAAGTGCAGCTTTCGTGATGGATATATATCCATGTGCCAAGCAAATCCACTTATTTGTCTCATTCAGTTTTGTGAGAAATTTATTGCAAACATGAACCAATTTCACTTTTATGACAAAAAAATGTTCACTGCAAAATAAGGAAAGATAAACAACGCAAGGGGCCTATAAACTAACACTTTAAAAAAGGATTTTAAGAAAGTTCTTGATTTACTTCAATTTTTATTTCTATTCCATTTTGAAGTTGATGAAATTATTTTTAAGGGATAGAGGAAAAAGCCAACAAGACATTCTTAGATTACGTGATTAAAAGGTGTACGATTGGAATGTCACCGACTGCATGTATAATTACATAGTATGTCATTAGCATTTTCATTTAATCCTAATTATTGTTGGAAATAATGGTATTTTTACTTCTTTTTTAAAGCATCTTTGCTTCTAAAAAAAGTAGGATGGTTTAAATGATTGTAGATTAGCAGAATGGCTTGTATATTGTGCAAAATATTGTTGAAACATCATTAATGATTCTAATTGTTCTAAAGTCATGTTTGTTATGATGGCTTGTTGGCATAAGTCTAAATTTTCACCTGGAAAACAAATTTGTTTTTGAGAAAGAGGACATAGTTTACCTTTAAAATTTGAAACTTTGCATGGTGGTAGTGTAAACTATTGAGGGTTTGAGGTAACACCATGTGGAAGAATCTCTTATGAGAAGATGTGTGGTTCTGAAAAGAACCAGTTTTATAGTGAGCACACCCCACTCCCCCACCAACAGCATCCACAACTCCATGCCTCCGCGATCAGCCTTCAGCGTCCACACTCCACGCCTCAGCGATCAGCCTTCAGCATCCACAACTCCACGCCCCAGTGATCAGCCTTAAGCATCCACAACTCCACGCCCCAGCATTCAGCCTTCAGCATCCACAACTCCATCCTCAGCGATCAGCCTTCAGCATCCACAACTCCACGCCCCAGCGATCAACCTCCAGCATCCACAACCCAAGCCCCAGCGATCAACCTTCAGCATCCACAACTCCACGCCCCAGCGATCAACCTTCAGCATCCACAACTCCACGCCTCAGTGATCAGCCTTCAGCATCCACAACTCCACGCCCAGCAATCAGCCTTCAGCATCCACAACTCCACGCCTCAGCGATCAACCTTCAGTGTCCACAACTCCACGCCTCAGTAATCATCCAGCCCTAAAAATACAGCCTCATCCACCCTGTCTTGGCTTTCTCCTGGAGACGATCAGAGCATGCAGATCGGAACGTCGAGTTTCACAACCAAACGGTTCTTTTAAGAACCACACTTCTTCTCAAAAAAGATTCTTCCATATATGCTGTTACCATCACAAACCCTCACTACTTTAAGTTTACATTTGTACAACTGTTTACCATATGACATTTGGTATCCATACTGCAGCAAGATACTTTTGAAAGAGGCCTAATTTTAACAAAGTTTCTCTCTTCTCCAGACACAATTGTTTCTCATGTGCTGCATAATTTTGAGGGAAAAAAAGAATGATCATTGGTCTTTAATGTGGCTTTAATGTTAAAGTCAAACATGCATCTATAAGCCAGAATCTTCATTAGACCATTCCAGAGATACAATAGCTTTGAATTTTAATCAAGAATGCCCCTTTTGTGCCGTTTTAATGTTAATTAACACTTGAATTTTAGCAAAATAATAAATTGAATGCTAAAGTTCTTAAATGTGTTCATTCTCAAATTGCCTTAAAATGCAAGAGAAAACATCCTAGGTTTCAACATTTCATGGGGACATCCCCCCCCCCCCCCCCCCCCCCCCCCCCCCCCCCCCCCCCCCAGCAGGGTGTGAAAGCTACATGTAGATCTGCCCTTGTGGAACCAGGTATGGGCGTCGCCAGGTTTTTTTTCCAGAGGGGGCAACACACATTTTGCCCCAAAAGTCCTGTACTTTTCCAGCATATTCTCAATTTATCAGTTTTTCGAGGGTGGGCAGGGGGATTTTTGCCCACCCACCGCGACCACCCCCCCCCCCCCCCCCCAACAAATTAAAAGCACCTATTTTTGTTTGTTTGTTTGTTTGTTTGTTTTGCCCTGAGCCCTCGCGATGCCCATGCAACCACCAAACTCCCCACTCGTCTGTTGTAAAAACATTTATTTTAATTAAAGCAAAATTCACTGTTTGTTGTTTTAGGAGGCAAGTTTTGATGACTTTTGTGGAGCACATTTTTCGTACTACTGGACACCCGCGACCAAAGCATGAGCAAATCAGCATAAAAAAGTGCAAAATAGAATGTTTCCCGACCAACCGACCAATCGACCCTATTCTGAAACCGACATGTAATCGGAAGCAGAACCATTTTTTTGTTGGCCTTACTCAGTCTTTCTACAACCTATTTCAGCCAAAAAAAAGTTTCTTTCACATAGTTGAATTGAACATCAAAGGAATTTGGAGTTGGTTTGGGTAAAATCATGGCATTCTAGCCTCATGCAGTGTCATCAGTCCTTCCATGACACCAAACTAAAGCCTTTCATTGTTTCGGCATTTTTCACGAAAGTTTTAAAACTATAAGAACACAATACATGTATTATATTTCGTTCTATACGAGTGAATTTCATTTTCAGCTGTCATTTCAAATATAAGCCTGGGAAGGAGTTTTAGAAAGTGGTGCACTTTTTAATTGTTAAATTTGACTAATATTGTAAGAAAGACACCAGCTTCCTATAGGGTGCGCTGGTCAAAGCAGACAACCATGGGTGCTACCGGTATCTGATAATTGGTGACACTCTTAATCTCGGCACAGTTGCTGACGGAACCTCAATCGTACCGACATGAGGACAATTTGGCCGACAAAAGCATTCATAATTGGGGGAGTGGTGCACCCCCCCAACTCCAAAACTTTCTCCTCTATTGATGCAAGTGAACTTTACCTTTTAATATAAATCCTCCTGATGTAAAATTTGAATTGGAAGATGCATACATGTAATTGAGTGGTTATCCATCTGTACTTGTAAGCAGGTGGTCGTGAGTTCAGGTCCCTCCCAGTCCCAAGTAATATTGAGTAGATGTTTCTTATAAGCTCTCAGAAAGCTCTATGTACATTAAGGACACTCACCCTGCACACATACATTACCCCAAGAATTAAGCTTCAACTTTGCATTTCAGTTTTTCAATATTTCCAATTGGCCGGATACTTATAGATGCCTTTTACTATACCTCATAAATATTCATCAGGCAATCACGGCATTTCATTGGTCCATTCAAGCAACTCGACCGTGTGAAAGTTTTTACTATCACCCCGCATCTTCGCACGAGCGCGTGACGGGCAAAAACCAGGGAGGTACTATCACACACCTGGGTCACAGCAGTTAGATTTGTTCCAGTACTGTGATATCTCTTTTAATACCAACGACGCATGTGCTTTACGTGCGTACCGTGGAGAACACCAGTGGGGACAGTTGCATGTGTCAGTCTATTACGGCGTACATCAATATGGCGACCAGTGGAGCTCGCTTTGCGATTTTAACCGAGGAGGAAGTGGGTGAAATTTTACACAATAAAAATAAATGCAGTGTTTTGCGTGAATGTTAAAGTTATTAAATGATACAAAATTAAGTTTCTATCTGTCTCCTTAAATTAATATAATGTTTCACTTTATCCAAATACTGCACGATCAAAAACATGGTTACATGGACGAATGAAATACCACAGCTGCCTAAAGTTATTAAATGATACAAAATTAAGTTTCTATTATGTCTGTCTCCTTAAATTAAAATAATGTTTCACTTTATCCAAATACTGCACGATCAAAAACATGGTGACATGGACGAATGAAATACCGCAGCTGCCTAAAGTTATTAAATGATACAAAATTAAGTTTCTATTATGTCTGTCTCCTTAAATTAAAATAATGTTTCACTTTATCCAAATACTGCATGGTCAAAAACATGGTGACATGGACGAATGAAATACCGCAGCTGCCTGATGAGATAGTCCCAATCATCCAACACCTCGGGGTCATTAGTATTCACTATTTCCCCACAAACCATGTTGTATTTGTATAATATCACAATACTCTATCAACTAGGACAAGCCTGCAATTTGCTTTCTATTTACACACTTAATCTATGTTATTTTACTGGGGCCCCGTCACTTATCAATGAACTGTTCTCCTTAGCGGTCCTAGAATGAAACCTATAAAAACGATTCAGCACTTTTGTTCACAAAACTCAAAAATAAAGTTTACTGCAATTGAGTGTGAGTGATTTTAGCCACTTTGAGCCAACATAGATTCAGATATGAATCTGGTTAGTACAATGAAATTATAGATGGGAGAAAGAATATTCATAGGCTTTGATGTTGGAGTGTACTCCCCTTTTTTGAAGAATCAACTGGTCCATTTTGCACTATACGTGTGTGCTCAGCTGTGATAAAATTAAACAACGCCCTGTTTTTGCTGGCACTTGAAATCAGTAAACCAGACAGACACAGTAAGCCAAAAGCCACACAGCTATCAGGTGGACATGTAGACTACCGGTAATTTCCTGCTGGAATATTTTCTACTTGTATTACACCATTTTGAACCGCATTTAATGGAAAAAACTACTGAAAGCAACAAATCATGGCAAGTAACACCAAGCAAAACTTTGATGAACTCGCAGAAAATGAGGACTTCTTTGAATGGTTTTGGACTGAAAACCATGGCAAAATGTTAATAGAGGCACTGAACGAGAGCCGCTGTCGACCGCATAACGAATATGTCAGTCAAGGAAAGAGAGCTCATATTTATGGCGTTGTAATTAATGATAAATCTTATGTTACGAAGCGAGGTGACTCAATATGGAAGTATTGCAAGATTGGGCTTACCCGAGTTGACACAACAAGAGGAACTGACAACCGAATGGAGGTTGTGGAGAAAGCGATAAATAAACAATTAGGTACATCGAAGACATCTACCCTATTTGTCCTCCCTCATGATCCAATTGACAGCACATCAGTTTTGCAAGTAGAACTAAAAGTACGGGCTGCATTTGGACACAAGGTACCCAAGGAAGCAGCGAAAGATTTAAACTTTCCTACGCCAACAGAATGGGTTCTCACCACTCAACATTTCATCACGACCTTCATTAAATCAAAGCATGCCGTGTGTGAACGATTTGGATTTGCAAGCACACAAATTTTTGATTACCTTGCATTTGAAAAAGAAAGGTTTCCACTGCCATTTAAAAAGCTCAGGGACCAAGAGCAAGAGGAAATGGCGCGCAACATAAAAATGTTTGATGAAGAATATAAACGAGAAGGGCATCAACTGACAGATAAATGGGTGAGAGACAATGAGACAACACGGACAGTGAGAGAATGGAGAATATCAGATAGGATGGCCGGACTGAGCCTTGTATGTGACAAAGACCAAAAGGAAATCGTGCGCAGCATAAAAAAGTCTGATGAAGAATATAAACGACTAAGGCATCAACTGACAGATAAATGGCTGACAGACAATGACACAGCACGGACAGTGAGAGAATGGAGCTTAAAGATGGCCAAGTAATTTCCTACATATCCAGTGAATCAGCAGAATTACATGGATTTATCAGTGCAATCATGGATAATACAGGAATGTTTAAAAACAAAAATTAACAAAAAAGACAGCTTGGCAATCCACCTCCCATGTCTCACCCATAAAGTTATAAGTTGTAACCGTTAGTGTGGACAGTGTGAGTTATAAAGTTGAAAAAGAAATTTGCTGGAGGACGATCCCACTCTAGTCAGCCTGTTTGTTCCAATTACTGAGGACATTGTGTTTTCAGGTTTTAGTTATCAACTGTTGGTTTTCAGATATCAATTAATTTCACTTTTCAATTCTTATTTCTTAATCAAAACAGAACTTAAAGGGAATATACAACAGTTGCTTTTGTTGTAATTTTAAAAATGGATGGATTTGGGGGTTTCGTAGATGCTGGAAAAACCAAGGAAAACAATCATTTTTTTGAAGTCTGGTTCCCTGACCCCACTTAAGATGAAACAGAGCAATTTATAGACGTCGGGGAATTGTAACTAAGGTCAGGGAACAGTCTAGCGAGCTGGCTTGTACCCGTTCACAGGTGTGTAATCGATTGCAAAGAAAATGTGGACAAACTACCGGGGGTAAATATGATAAATTTGGAGCAGTATTTGTAAAAAAAAAAGTTTTTGTCCAACACTGTTTGACAGACCAGCGT